GCAGGAATTAAAATCATTGGCTGCTGACTTTAATTAGGTGAATGTCCTAGAAAATTTTAAATGTGTATCCAAGTTAGGGTGTGAGGAGGGCGCGTGCACGCGTGCACACACACACACACACACACACACTTATATAGTTTTCCTCTAAATTTTCTACCAGACAGGCAGATACACACACAAACACACACACACACATATACACACACACTGTAAAATCTACCCCCCACCCCAATCTGTCTATTCTATTGAAGAGCCTTGCCATCCAGTGTAGTCTGGGGACCAGCAGCATTGCTATTATGTGGGCGCTTGTTAGAAATGCAGAATCTTGGGCCCAACTGCAGACCTGCTGCATCAGAATCTGCACTTTAGCAAGAGCTCCAGGTAATTCACATGCTCGTTAAAGCCTGGGAAGCCCTGCCCTAGAGGGATACCTTTTCCTCCAAGTTCATTCACTGAGGTATCATATGCCATTGGAAGGATAAAGGGGAATTGTCCCCGTTTGGTCACTGTGGAAGGAAAGAAGCTTGCCCTCCCAGTAGTGGTTGAAGAGTCCTTTTACTATTTCTCATTCACAAATTATACAGTCTTGAGTAGAAAGTTAAGAGGAAAACTGAATCAAGGCCACACTTGTTGCTGTTGACACCAACAGATGGTTACAGTACCTGGCTAACAGGCTGGTGAGGTTCTGTAGGTAGTTTTGCTTTAGGACAGTGGTTTTCCAAGGGAGATTTTGCTCCCAAGGTCATTTGGCAGCATCTGGAGACATGTTTGGATGTCACATCTACAGGGAGAGAGGGTGGTGCTTCTGGCACCTAAATGGGTAGAGGCCAGGGATGCTGCTAAACATCCTGCCATGCCCAGGACAGCGCCCCGCAACAAAGAATTATCTGACCCTAAATGTCAATAGTGCTGTGGTTGAGAAACCCTGCTTTAGGGACTGAGTTTAACTTATAGGAAGTCTAAAATCTGTTTAATTATCCCATGACTCATTTAAAAGAAATATTTCAAACATGCTAAACACTTGGGACTAATAAATGTTAACTTCACTTTTTTTTTTATAAATAAAACGTTACTGATGCATTTATAAGTACAGTTTCAAAGTCCCATTCCTTCACTCT